TATATATTACCCCGTAACTAGGCAAGCAAAGTCTTACTGGAGGCAAAAATGATTTAAAAGTATATTATTTACCTTTGAGGTGTATATGAAGAGTAAATAGTTTTCTAATTCTTAATTGGTGTCGAGGTTCGAGAATTTTTAAATATCTCACAAGATACGTTGCTAAGTTTCCATATAGTAATATGTATGTGTCTTGTGAGATGCATTGCCAATAATTGCATTACATTTATTATTAAAATGTAACACTACACCATTAATATCTGGTGCGGATTCACGGGGAGGTAAATACCTCCCTAAAAATTTTCAGTATCTAATAATTTTAACTTGTCACGAAACTTTCAAGCAAAAATATTGTAGGACATGCATCAAAACAAATAAAATCGTATTGCAGCATGAGATAGTGTAGCCTACGACATTTCACTATATCTTTTATATGACACCTTCTACCAAAACATTTTGAATTTCCCCTCCCAAAATTTGTCTCTAGATCCGCCCCTGTTAATATTTAGTTCTTTGTAACGTATGTTGTACTTTATTTGACATAAAAATCATATTATATTTATAAAAAGTCTTGTAATGGTTAAAAATATATAATGTTGCATGACATAAATATTTACATAATTATAAATAATTATTAATTGAAAAATATAATAATATCTAAGTATTTTTAATATTTTTGTTTAATATTGAGAATTAAATATGTATTATATTTAATAGTAATAATATAAGTAAGTAATATATTATATGTGTTATTCAATGTATTATATATTGTGTTATTTAATGTATTATATCAATGTATTATTAATATTAATTTGTATTCTTTATTATTAATAATTAAATTATAAATAAATGCCAATTTTTAAATATTTACAAAGTATTGTATTTTTATATAATTATAAATATATGACTACATCACTTATTATATATATTTGTACAGTTATTGTAGATAGCACAAAAACATTTGCCAAGAGTGTACTGTTTAAATTATCAGAATATTTCATGTTGTATTATCGATGTTAATATTTTAATTACGTTATACGTTGGGTGTCTGACAATGTATCTCTACATAATGATTTAAGTCCGTTCTAGAAATAATTTCATTCCTCTTTTATAAATCAATTTTTGGCTCACAATTCTCAAATACCATGTAAAATGCGGTATTCGTAACAATAAATACAAAAATATAACACTATCATGCGAAAATAATTATATTTACGGGACAAGTGTCATCTAATCCGTCATCTCGCGCCAAAATGGATTTTGGTTCTTTTGCAATTAATCACTGCAGTCAATAATGTGCAACACAGCATTATATTCTTCAAAGACGTTGTAATAAGATCAAATCAAAGCGATTTCCTTTTCAGAGTAATAAATATTTGGTCACAAAATCTATTTATTCCACAAGGTACGTTGCCAAATTAAGGGTTAAAATATAATTATATGTAATTATTATATTAACATTTATAATATTAATAGATAATTATTGTATTACATTAGATATAATAATAAAAAACCTTCTCGTATACCGTAACCATGCCCTAGCACGAAGAGTAGGACCTTGCAGTCATGGAACAAGACTTCTGTTCTTCTGTTACATTGTTTTTGTACCATAATATGTTAATGTTTTACCACGTAATTGTTGAATTTCAAGGTGTGACCAGGTGGTGAAATGTATAATATACGCGCACGTTTTCTTGATCCCCGGAATATCAACCCCCACTCCTTTGACATTAGATGATTTAAGTATAAATAATAACAACGAGCATTGTAGACAAAATCTGATAACCTGAAATATTCTCTCCTATGTATTAGAAACTACTATTTTGCTTCGAAAAGTGAACGAATCACTTTGATATAAAATTCCTTCCGTGAAAATAACCAAACTCCCCACTCCCCTCGCAACTAGCGAAGCGATGGCTCAAGAAATGTGCGCGGATAATAGTAGAATGTAGTATATAGATGTCAGTGTAAATTCTTCGTGAAATTACCATGGAACGAGCTCCTTTCATTATAATACCATAAAAATCTTGTTCCAACTCCCACCCTAAGTAAAGGACCGATTGTGCAACCTCTGTAATATTTATAAACAATCGCGGATCGTCATTCATTCGTCTCTTTCTATGTCCCTCAACTTTTAATAAGGAATTTGTATAAACATTTTCCGAAAAGTATATTAAAAGAGACATTTTTTCTCAAGTGAGTTTTAGAAGAGAAAAGTTGAAAAGCTGTTTGAACACACCGTATTTCTCCCATTTAGTTATAGTGACTTCTGAGGATAAATTAAGTGGACACAATTATCTAATCTATAGCTTTGTTATATCTTAATTTTTAGTATTGGTGCTTCTGCTTGGATAATCGAGTCCCAGGTGTTTAACATCAGATGTCACTATTTATAATTCGGAGAATAGCTTAGTTGGAATTACAGTTAATAGAATGCGTTGCTTTCAATACATGTGACATGAAGTGGGATACAAACGTCTCGAGATCTACAGCTGTTTTGGGTGTTGTGCAGATGTTTTTAGTCCACATGAGTCTGCGCGTTCCACGGTTTCATTGGTTCCATGGAGCAGAGACATGGGAGGAGGGTTAGCCGGTAACTAGAGACGGCACGAATCGGGACGAATGGAAGTGCGGGTCAAGTGCGGTTCTGTTTAAGCGTTTATGTAAATGGATCCCAACATCGGCACTGAAAAAAACGGAGTTACTGAGGCAGCACAACCTCAGGGCGTAAATAAAGTGTTTTCTTAACATGTGACAGTTTATAGTTTGATAAATATCCTAAATTATGTTTCTTGTTATAGTCTTACCGGTTCAATACTGAAGAACTTCGTGTCTTAAGACAATGCAACAAAGAGAGCTTTTATCAGAGATCTTTACCATTGTCCACAATTATGTGCATTGGGACTTACTATGCAGTGAAATTTGGTATGTTTGGTCTTTTTATGTATTCCTGTCACAATTTGCTAATTAGCATGCGAGGCATTAGTAGATGTGCAACATAATTCACATAAATTGTTTGTGTACAGGTTACCTGCGAAACCATCCTAGATTTGGTCCAACTCCTAAAGTTTTAATTGCTGCTACTATCGGCTATTTTGTTGGTAAATTTTCGTATCAGTCTAAATGTGCTGAGAAATTGATGCAACTTCCAAACAGTCCTATTGGTGAAATGTTACGACAACGCAAACGGCAATTAGGAGGCTCTCATGAAACGTGAGTTCGTAGTCATTAAAAAAAAGGCTATATGCAGATGTTAATAATGTTATATCAAGGCATCATATGTTGTAATGTATTAGATTTGCTGACCAGTCGTCCCTTTCTTGGCCTGAGTTGGACTCCAGTGCTGGAGCATCTCAGACATTGGAGTCTGAACAACCCATGGGTGATGGATTTGATACCTACAGACCATTAGATTGTATGTATGCAAAAGTATGACAATCCCTTATTTTCTCTTTTTATTAAAACATGATTTGAAATGAATTTTGGAATATTTCCATTTTTAGCACCTTCTTTTGAAGAAGAAACAATGTTGACTGTTCCATCACAGACTACAAGTTATGAAGAACTTCGACGTAAGAATAGAGAAGAATTTGAGCACAAGAAACCTAAACCTTATAGGTATGTGTGAAATATCTGTCACATGCAATTTGTCATAGCATTAGTAATGAAAATTTGAGTTTGGAGGGTGAAAAAAAGTGTATGAGAGTGAAAAACATACTGTGCATTTTTTCAAATCTTGTGACTGTTTTTCTTATTAATTTCATAAGAAACTTTAATTTAGAAATTGGTTTAATCAAGGAAGTTAGCTTCAAAATTTGACACTTGGATTGTTGAATGAATATCGAAGTACTGACTGAGGAAAGTGTGAAAGAATTAATTCAAATAAATTTCTCCTTGCTTTGTAACAACTTGCGGGAAATCTTCAGTCTCCTTAGTCAAGTATCTATTTTAAAAGTTAATGAGCTGTGATGTGTCCTTTTTCAAATAAGACAGCTCAGGGTTAATTGTTGTGCCACATTAAATTCTCATTAAGTATTCTGTCATTTACTTTGTTAGGTTTGCATATCAAATATATCGTTCAACTGAACAAGAATTTATCTCGGTACAGGCAGTAAAAGCAGTATGTTTTTTCAAAAACTGTGGAAATGGAAAATTGGAAATCTGGAAATCAGGAAGTCTGTTTTTATCCCTCAGTTTTTAGAGAAATGTAATTTTGCTTTTATTTAGAATGCATGTGGGTGCTGATAAGATGTCAATCATAGACGTATGAGGATCAAAGAGATGGAGTTTTATTCAGTTGGTTTATTTGAAAGCTTAGAAAGAAATTATTCCTGTTTTACTTGATAATTAAGAAATGCAATTGTCATTTTGAAGAATAGAAAAGTTTTTATTTTGTTAATTAATTTTGGAGTGCCAAGTGAACATAGTTATTTCGTAGTAATTCTAAATAATGAAATTAATTTGTATTGTAATATAATAAGAAAGGTTATTAATTAATTAAAAATATAGTGGAGGTTGCCCAAACTTTTTGTCATAGAGTAAAATGTCATTTGCCACGTAACTTAATTTTTTTCATCCTGGGAGGTATTATCGTGAAACTAATTAGAAGGAAAATTCTTTGATCATTTTGTGTCTATGTGTGATGGTTTACATGATCTTGATATCTCTTAATTTTTCAATTTTGATGTTACAAATCAGTATTGTTTTCACTAAGTTTGTTAGTCTGTCTCATCTTTCTTAATAACTCACTTCCTCATTTGAGATTTTCATATTATATTTATTTTACTAAATATCATTTTGGTTATTTTGCAAAGTTCAAAATGTTTAGTTATATGAGTAACTTGAGGCTCTACCTGTCCCCCATGTGTTTGCATGCATGTGCCTCACAAGGTTAATAGTAGTTTTCAAAATAGTGGTTTTTGCTTACTTTTAGTAAAAAAATCCTATTAATATTTCTATAAACTTGTGAAGTAGATTTTCTTAAGAAATGGTTCCAAATTTTTTTTAAAGTTGTAAGGTTAGAGAGCAAAATAGTGAATTCTATGGAAGAGGTGCTACTTTCATTTAAAGTTTTGAATTTTCAAAAATTGAAGGTATGTATTCTTTTCGAATTTTCTGAGCTTTATATAGTGAAGAATTTTTTTAAGAGATGGTTTTAGTATTTTCGGTGTACAAGTTGCAATATAAAATTGCTTAAGTGTTACAAATAATACCAGAAAGTATGTGCTGTTGTGACACTACCTAGTTTTATAACAAATATTTTCCTAAAACTGCAGCAGATAGTGCAGTGGTTTTGGTGGATGAAAGGAAGTTTGGAATTCATAGAAATTGAGATAAGCTGAATTCCCCAAAATGTAGAATGAGGGCCTCAAAGATCTTTGTAATTTTTTGTTTAAAAAAAAAAAAATCTTCCAAAAACGGCACTTCTTAAATCATTGTTTGAACTGTGAAAATAATTTCTTAATGGAACCCACTTTATGATGTGTTGTCAAAATCATGATAGAGAATAGGGGGACTTTCCAAAAAAGTCTTGTTTTTAGATTATGGCATAATCATAAACATTTATTTTAAAGGTCTAGGACTTGTAGGTTCAGAGTTCTTGCGCATTCAGAGTTGCAATTTGCATCAGCGCCAGCTGTTGTAGTTTTATCATAGACTACAAACTCCTATTGTATCTTTTATCATCCTTATATACTGTGCATAGATGGAGAACTTCATGTAATGATCCTGGAAAAAGTGCTGCCAATTTAACAGGAAAAAAATATAATGGGTCCTTGTTACTGAAAGTGTTTTTTTTTCTTTCTCCAATACTCATGCACACACTCACTCACTCACTCACTCTCACTCACTCACTCACTCACTCACTCACTCACTCACTCACTCACTCACTCACTCACTCACTCACGCATTCGCTCGCACACTCTTGTGTTTTTAAAAGTGCAGAAAGTTAACACTGCTCTTTAAAAAAAGTCATGTAGGTATTTTTGAAAAGAAAACAACAGATTTTTTGCATTATCTCGCTTAATGTTCGTGCAATTCATAAAAAACTCATTTACTCAAAATCCACTTCAAATTTTTTCCCTGCATAAAACAAGGGACGCTTAAAATAATGGTGCAGGTTTTATTTTCATTGAACTAGTTTTTGAAAATTGCTAATTTAGAAATAATTTGAGAGTATGTGCTGTTGTAAAAGCCACTACTTTCTGAAAGTCACTAATACAATAAACACATGCTTAACAAGAATTTCACCATTACTCATAATTTGGGTTCCAGCAAGGAAAAGTAGTAATACTCATCTGTATAATAATCCGATAACACAAATTTTTATAATACGAACATAAATTATCTGATCCTTGGAATTATTGTTGACTTGGGTTTACTGAATGTCAATTTGTGTATGAGAAAGAAGACTTTTTTCTAAAAGAATTTAATTATTTTCCTTTCTATTCACTTTGTGTTTTATTTGCAGGGGCTCATCCTCTGATGACCGCTTAGTGCCTTCTTCGACCCCCACTGACAGAGAGTCAATGGGCCCCCAGAGAGCAAAGAATAAATATGGGGATGTTTGGGCAGAATAAGACTGAGTAGCATTTACGTGGAGAACTGGTGAAAAGAGCAGCAAATTTCTGGAAGTTTCTTGAAGAACTTAACATGATTTTATCCTTCTGATATCTTGTCATCAAGTTTCTTGTAGTTGTTCATGGTGTTGCATTAATTTGTTAGTGATGTTTAGTTATTGACTGTTCAGTTCTTGGAAGTGCACTACCTCATTTCAATGTGTATTTCATGAGAACAACTATGTAGTTTTTCTCTTAAGAAATTAAAAATAAACAAACAGGATTCCTAGTTCATTGGTGCTGTTATTTGTTCCTTTTGAAAGTTGCTGTTAAAGCCTGAAAAGTTGATATTTGTGCTTCTAAAAAATGTGCTGCGCCTGAAAAGTTGATATGATATTTGTGCTTCTAGCAGCTCTTTTATCTTGGAGGAATCTATGGTATTGAATGTCATTGCTTTGTATTGTGCCATTTAAGACAAGTAGAATTATGTTGGCTAAAGTAACTGCACGCGCGTGTGTGTGTGCACGTGTACGTGCATGTGTACAAGGGATTGAATGTATTTGCTTATAAGCTATACTATGAATAGTTAATGTATATCATATGATAATGTATACCGATATTGAATGAAATCGAGTTTGTTTTGAATTAAGAGTAGCACAATTATCTAAATCACCAGAACGTTCAACAGAGTGCATTTTGTCATGGTATAATTTCTTTTTATCAAATTTAAATAGCTTTTTAAGTTGTTGGGTACTGGTTGCCTAATTATCATGTTTCCGTCATCAATTTAAATATGTTAATTCATCGTGCAAATCAATTGCTGAATAAATGAAAGTTTGCATGAACATGGAACTACCCTAACAGAAATGAGCATTGCATAATTAGAAATAAATTGTTATAAACATCAATGCGTAGGAAATCTCAAATATATACTTTTCTCACAAAAATGAAAATTGTACCATTGTACCACAAACAAACCCTGTTATGAGAGAATCCCAGAAGACAAATGAAACTGTATGGACTGTCCCTAGTCTTCATGTACAAATTATGAGCTTTTTCATTTCACAAGTAAGAGATTTGCATTTAAGAGTTTCTAACTGAAGTAAAAATGTTGGTTCCAGAGGACATTTCCTCCCTCAAATAAATGTCAAAACTGCAAATTTTGCCCATGTCAAGCTGCGCGACTCACTGGTTTTATTCTCGAGCACCCTTGACAAAGGCGGCATAGAAGGAATTCCTGGCTTTTGGAAATTAGCTGGGTTACTTCTGGAAGGTAATCAGTTTAAGGTGAAAATCTGTGGCCAAATTTCTCTGTGTATTGTTTTGTGGAAGGCACTATGGTGTGCATTTCTATCGAGAGCCCATTCATGCTAATGTTTTCATCATGTTCGGGCAAGAGGAAAGAATGAGCAGAGCAATATTTGACAAGGCATGGGCTAATTTTCATTCCTTGTGTACTTTGTATTGAGCTTTACACTATCATGGTGATGTTGATGTGGATCCTCTGAATAACTATGCATGAAAGGTGATGTATGAGATAATTTTTAGAGACGATTAAGATGTTTTTGAGAAGTCCAATTCTAATAGCTCCAAAATGGAAGTTAATATCTATACTAGAAAAATTTGACATATGCCTTGGCGAAAACAGTAAAAATGTAAGATAACCTTAGGTGAAGATGACTTAATCATTTCTTGTCAACATGAGATAAAAATTTTGGACCCCAAGTGTCATCTATAATGGGGTTCTATTGTAATTTTACTATTTATTATTTAAGTTATTATTTATATATCCAGGAAGATGTACTTTCAGTTGACTCCGATAATAATGAACTTCCGGGGACTACATTTTTGGATCCCTGTTTATTGTATCTGATGAAGTCAAAATGAAATAGAATTACTCCCTAATGATTGATTTTATTAATATAGCGATAGAGCAAAATACATTAACAGCACTAACTAAAAATTTCAATATTTCAATTTCCCCTTTATAAATCAATTATTTTCAATTGTTTGCTTTGTATGTTTTTCATTAGTTTCTTTTTCTAGATTTTTCTCCTAAGTTCATGCTGTCTCCATATTTGATTTTGCTTTGACCATTCTCTAAGTATCATAATGCAGCTTTGACGCCCTTCAGTGCCTCTTGCACTGTTGGATGTCCCACTCTTTGAAGGCCATTTTACTTCCATTACATCCATGATCCTTTCAGTAGCAGGATGGTGCAAATGGAGGAGAGAATTAATTTCCCGGTCATATTTCCTATAACTGAGGTTCACTATAATTGAATCTTCTTATGCTTATTTGAAATATAAGTGAAATGGGACACTGAATCAAGTTTACTGTAACCATGGGGTTGTCTGTAGTTAGCTTTTTACATTGAGCAATAAAAATTAATAATGTTTTGAAATCAATATTTTTCCCTTTCGGAAATTCGGAAAAAGAATGTTGGAGATAGGAAATGGAAATAATCTAGTAGGATGTAATGAACCAGTTAACTTAACTAGCCCCAAATTGGTCTCTTTCTATGAAGAAAAGAATATAGAAAATTTATATTTTTGAAATATGATTTGTCACAAAGGTATAAAATGATCGCTGGGCCCTCACCAGCTTCACAAAAAACGAAGTTTTTGCTAGATATCGGAAATTTGTTTTAGATCATTAGAAAGAGGTAATCTGTAAAAATAAGTTATGATATTAATTATTAATTTTTATTAATATGCCAACAATTTAGTGAATTGGGATATATAGATATGACTTACAGGTTGTTGCAGCTGTTTTAGACCTTTTAAAAATGGTAGTTCTCATTTAAAATGGTTTTAAAGAGATTTTTGGGGCTTATATGTCTGGTTTTGAACCATGAATTTTGATCTACTTTTGTTTATAAGAGAGGTGTGGGAATTTTTGTCTCTATTGTGACAAACTATTGTCTTCAGAAGAGAAACTGAAATGTTAAGAGAATAAAATATTCTGAGATGTGGGGAGAGACTATTGCAATGCCTCCATAGATTTTACAAAGAATAAATAAATAAATTGAATATAATTTTGTTGCGATTTTTGTTATGTAGAGTTATCTTCAAGCTGATACCATAGATATATTTTCAGCAAAGTAGTGATAAATTCAGAGTGTATATATATATATTCTGTTAGGCCCGCACAGCATTTTACACTTTGACTAACCTCAGGAGCAACTACGTGTGAGCAACTTTAGTGCAAACCCAGGCAGTGTCGATGGATGGGTATAAGACTCGTACCATGAGTGGGGACCACCAATGAGAATGCGTAATTCGAACCGTAGCGCATACATTGAAAGAGCAATTGTGAACATTGATGGACTATAACATACAGTTCAAGTATCATTACTTTTTATTTGGAAAATGGTTATTGTCGAAGTATGAACCTAAAACGAATTAGACGTACATATTTAATTTGGATACCAGTGTAGTTATTGCTTGTAGGACTGATAATGTAATTTGCTTTGCTATAATGTAATCGCAAATTTAGCATGCTGCTAAATTTGTAATGTTGAATTTTTTTGTTTGATGATTACAGTAATAAATTATTTTTTTCACTAACTATGTTCAATTGTTTAAGACAGTTCCATTGTAGCTACAAAATTTTATTATTAAAAAAAATCATGATTACTTTCTGCTCTAATTTCTGACAATAGTACATTATATATTTCTAATTTTAAATCGACGGATATGAATAATTTCTCATCGTTTACGACATCGTGTAAAAAACTTGAAGCCTGTTGCGTTCTATTTAACGAGACTCGTAATAATGTCTTGAAGGCCCGTAAAATATCATAAGAGGTTTGCTCATTGGTATTATTAAGCTTCATAAAGAGGGAAAATGGTCACAAATATATGTTCTGCCAAACATTACCCTTCTTGGAATTGCCTATATTTCATTTTTATATCATCTAGATGTGAGAAACTACTCTCAATTTCCTCCGTTTTGCATCATTTGAAACTATGTAACACTTCTGGTTTATAATTGATTATTAAATTGTGAATTTTTGTTAGTTAAAATTCATAATACATTTTTAAAAGAGGCCACTTGTTTAAAATATTGAGTTATAATGAGTGTAAAGAAAAAAAAAGTTGTTACATAGCTGTGCCCAGAAAATCATTAATAGTGAAATATGGCCCTTGTAGCCATAAATACGGTACTTTGCCTATTTAAATAAATGGGTAAATAATTTCACAGCATTCATTACATTAGACAGACAGGTATTCAATCTATGCACTGTGTGGACTCTGCTTCGGCTTGTCTCCTCCACTCAAAGTTGTTGTCTCCCCAGCACTTGTACTTTTGAAGTTCTTGTGAGCAGACAGCTGGCTTGTTAGTGCAGAATGCCCGCAGGAGTGCAGGCCTGTGTTGAAGTAACACATTATTTGCTGCATAATATAATAAAAGTTTATTTTAAGTATGTGATGTATGCATTGAGGCTGAATAAATTCTTGTAAATATTTGGAATAATTATGTCAATAATAGCCAGTATCTGAGCCAATTTCCATCCAGTGGAGGGCATTAAATATTTTGCTGGCTCTCAAATGAGTTCAGAAGAGAGATCTCCATTTTTTTGAGAGACTAATCAGAGGTTCCTATATTCTTGTTCATGTATGTATGTATGTGTGTATACATGCACATTATGTGTGTGTACATGTATATATACACATACATGAACAAGATTCTAAGAAACATATGTGTGGTCTCATTTTCGGCAAACTCTGAAAATTGCAAAAAAGTTGTTAACATTTCAAAACTAAAAACTAAAATATAGATATTTTTGCGTTGAAAAAAATCTATTAAAAAATTAGGTCTTAAAGAAAAGTCGTTTACTTTTTTTGAAAACCAAGTATTTTCCACGTTATTTCTTCTTGAAACTTGCGATTTATATAAAAACTCAAAAACGGCCTCAAATTTTTCCCTATGGATAGAGTAAAGAACGCTTAAATATGGCGCATATATTTTCGTTAAGTTATGAGATTTCGGAAATTGCAAAAATTAGAAATAATGCGAAAACTTACATGCTGTTGTGGCCCTACTAGTGTGGCACAAAAATACACTGATAACAATGTCGTTCTTTTGGGTGTGCAAGTCGGCCGTGCCCAAGGCTAAACGTACATTTGATTCTTCGATTTTATTTAGATTTTTTCATTTATTCGGTATTCGGATAATGAATCATCTTTGCAATCGGCATCAGCGCGTCCATGCAACGCAGACAGTGCGAGCGCTGGTCAGGCCGTTGGCGAATGTCTCCAGCGTCTTCAGGACAGATCGGGTGGTGGCAACCCATGCGCGCTACTTCCTCCCACTCAAGGGCGAAGCGTGCGAAGATGTTGGATCTCGATTCAACGACATGCTAGTAAGCGAGCTCCCGTGATTGTGTTATTCTGCGTTGTACATTAGTCTTTAGCGGTACTCATTAAACTAGTGTTACTTTCTATATGGATAGTGAGAAAGTAGTACAATAGTTTAAAAAAATGCTTTTCTCTCTCCATTCGTTGAAGAAAAGAAACGAATAGTAATTGATAATGGGCGACTATGTCCTAACTTAATATTTCAGAATTTAAGACGACCACCGAACAATGGGCAAAATGTCGAGCATGTTTATTAAATACTTTAAAATGTATTATTCTAATCTTTGCAATAGAAATTACAACACTCGTATTGTTATTTTGCAACTATTCCTCAGTCTTCCAATATTATTTAAAATAAATCAGGATTTAGTATATACGATTCAATTGCACTTTAAATATGTATGCGAAAAGAGTAGTGTGGGGGTTAACACTTTCCTTCACTGCCAATGCCCTAGGTCCAGAAAGACGAGACTCAACTGGTTGAAATATTACAGTTCCCAGACTCAAGAACCCCTGTAAAGTTGGCTAAAAATTTCAATATTTCATGGGTATTCGTTTTTCCATCGTTTGCTCCATATTTAGAATTTTTAATCATATTCTGTTCACAAATTAGAGCAAATACACATGGGGCCAGATTCACACTTTTAACGAAACTCCACGATTTTTCCTAAAATATTAAAAATGCTAAAATTTGATGGGTTTTGTTTGTCCATTGTTTGAGCACCATTAATCAGTAAGTAGATTATTTGTACCTCGTTTTCTCTGTCAGAATATACTGAAAAACTTATTCTACTGTACCTAAAAAATGAGAACTTGCACCCAAAAATGGAAAAATGATTTTTTCATCTATATTTATTTATTAAAAAAATTTTATCTACAGTTCGAAAAGTATTGCCAAAAAGGTTTTTTTCCTCGATTTCCAAAATCGCCAAATTAGCAACTAAAGAAATTGAAATTCCAAAAAATTTTTTTCGCATTATTTTCTCCATCTTTTAACAATGCCTAATACAATTGGAAACTTTTTAAACGTGGAATAATTTGACCACGTTTGCCCGCCAATTAGAAAATTCTTACCTGCTACTGTTCCAAAATTATTGGCAAAAATCTTTTACCTACTTTACTTTGTACTTGGTTTTGCGATTCCGCTTATCAGCGATTGTGACTTATTTTGCAGTTCCAGTTTTGTAAATCTATCCAAAGATCATCGTCCATTCTTCTCTGATGCACTATTCAATATATGTACCTACAATGTTGCAGGTTTGGCGTTTTCTCGCATCTTTCTTGAGGAGACTGAAGACATTCGTAGATCACCTTGTTTTGGTCTCAGATGTCCATACCATTGAAGCGTCTTATTTTCTAGTCCACAACGGATTCCATTTGCTGTACCCGTTCCCGAATTTTTACATTTCTATTTTTATGCATTGTCGAGATTCGATAGGTCTTTCATAATTCGTCCATTTCTATTACACATTTTTGTTGCCATGGCCCAATTTTTTCTACACATATCAAGGCCCAACTCTCTTCACCATTCGTAAGAATACTTTAAATTATAGTCCTTATAGTAGAGTTTTTTGTTCTTGTGTGGATTTCGCGACTTCAAGATATTTCATTCAAGATTCTTATTACTCCTCTTGCTTGTTTGAAGGGATCGTCCACGTCCCTTTTACTGTTTCTAGACCTATGTAAGATAAGGCCCACGCAAGGAGAACTCGGCCCCTCTCAGATTTTATTTAGAACAACCAAAGGAACCTGAACTTCATAGAGTTAGTATCTATGAACGGCCCACAAACTAATGTGATTCCATGTTTCTCAGGGGTTGTATATCACACAAGATTAAGCTTGTATGGTCATTGGGAACCTCTAAGTGAAGCTTGTGTGAATGTTTAAATTGATGTTATGGTTCATCCATTAGGGTGGTGAATTAGATGTAATGATGTTAAGAATTAATTATTCCTTTAAATAAGACCTTTGTATCCTGTGTGGATTTGGGTATCTTAAAATACAGATGGTACTACTTTGAGCCTGTTGTGTTGTAACGACATGCCAGCTCTGAGAACGAAAACGTGTTGATTTCAAGGCGGGCGCTCCAAGGCTGGCAAATTGAACCGTTAGGGACTGAGGCTGGTCGGAGTTCCGCAGCACAGTACAAGGGCGCGGACCGTGATGGCGTATATTTTTGTTGTTCAAGTGTGTGAGCAGATTAACAAGCGGGGGGGGGGGACTCGGTTCATACAGGGCAGACTGCCCTCACGGGAAATAAATTACGAGCTTCGGCACATCAACCTTTGGAATGGCGGTCACCCAAGGAGAGATGCCTCGTTTTTTTTATGTCGACCCACCACGCTCAATGCGTCCGGTGTCGCATCAGTCAAAACGTTTCTTTCACCCAAAAAGAAAGATTTCAAATGCCACCGCGAAGCAGCCATCGACCACTGACGAATAGAGAGCGCCATACACCGCGCAGCTACTTGCAGTTCAACCGTACCCTTAAACTAATTGAAATGCAAAAGGTCGCCGCGTCCCCCGCGAGTAACCGAAAAACAACCCGGAGAAGAGTGCTTCTGTGCCACACTCATTTGATCGCAGAAAGAAAGGACGTACCCTTCGGGGTCTGAGTGTTGCCACCGAAACTCCAATGGTAATTTTGTATGTAAACTTTTTAGCACGACATTCGTTTGAAAGCACCCCCGCCAAAGATATCCGAAGTCAATGGTGCGCATTAAGATATTGGGATGTGCGTGAAAGGAGGGAGTTCCGAGCTTTCGCTATTCGCGAGGAAGGGCCGCTAAGGCACACTGAGTTGATATCGAGATGGGTAGATGATAAGCTAGGTAGAGATCGAGTTTAAGACTTTAGGATAGCGCATCGATTGCACAGGCTGGAAAGACCCCGGCTGCTGATTTAAGAAAAGATCGGGAATATCGATCACAATCTAGAGCAGTTCCCCAAATGTGAATGTCCTTCCTAAACCTTCTGCTAAGTTTCATCATTGTTTTAAGCAACTTCATGTACAAACGTTCCTTCTTAAAAATTACTCATTCAAATAAAATTTGTAAGAATTGCAATAAAATAACTCGCGCCTGATTTTAAAGCTTCTAGTGAATGGTTAGAGAAATTTCTTACTAATTTGTGCCTTTTAGTTTGAGGAGGCGATATAGTTGTTTCGGATACCTTCGTAGACCCACAAACGTCCTCAGCGTTCAAAATGTCATTCCAGTGAAAAGTCGTTGGTGATGTCCTTTTTTTCCTTCTAAATATGTCGGCGTCTTTCTGAGCCAGTATTACTCGATATACCGCACTTCTTTAATTCCGAGATTTTGTCTTCATTATGTATGGAGCCGTGAAGATTGTAAAAAACCTTTTTATTTTAAAAAACAATGATATTTTTTTAAACGTGTGTAAAATAAACGATACGTAAAAACAACCCAAAGATAGAATAGGAAATTTGGCATCACCTATTTTAATCCAGAAGAGACCAAGTTCCCAGAACTGAAAGCAGATTCACAAATAATAAATATCAGTAGAAAAAATACTTGTAATGCTTTATTGAATGAAATGTTGCGTGATTGTTTTTCCGCGGAAAAGAGTATGAATACATAACGCATTATGTAACAGTGACATATGGCCGTTAATCGGACACGTCTGAATATTCCGTTCTCTGCAAATTATTACTTTACCAGTGAAAATAGCTTCATGGTGGAACCCAACTGCGTGTGTTCAGGGACTTAAATTGTGCGTTTCCTACGTCACACCGCCACGACACTGTGTAATGAGTGGCCTTCGGCCGCGCACTTCGAACTCTGAGAAGATCCCGGGTGGTCTGTGACTCCGTTTGTTGGGTACTGCTCTGCCATTAATCAGGGAATATACTGATTCGAGAAGTCCACCTTCGAAAAAGAATGGAAACGGTACAGAAAATACTTGTAGAATTCCAGTTTTTTGAAGAAGACACTGACTTATTTTCCAAATACTAGCATATTTAGTGTCAATTCACATATGATTATTATTTTTGCACAGCTCTACGCATACTAATAAGTGGTACGACGAGAAGAGTAAAAGAGTGTCAGGAAAGTGTAAACTAAGGTACAAAATCATTTAATTTTGTATATTGCTGTGTGAGGAGCATATCTCCTGCACCTCTTTGTTGCGGGTTGCATGCAGGCACTTCGGTGTTGCGGGTTTGTATGTGCGCCTGTCTCGTCTTGATCAGCATATACTACATAAGTCAAATATGATCATTTGCTCTTGATTGTTATACAACCCCGTGTTCACTAATGCTCGGAATGCGCATTAAATCTTCATGATAGCGTCAGGAAGTGACTTGCCGATTATCCGTGAGTACAGGTTGCGTAAATCAGGGGCAAACGGCACATTTATGCATTTAAATCCGTTATATGCGATTTCCTACTTCATGTTTATCTTCAAAAGACGATAATTTTTAACCTTTCTCTATACCCTACATGTTTATAACATTTATTCCGAGCTACTCTCCCGAGAAAGTATTTTCTCGATCCCAATTTCTAATGATTTTTGTGTCTCAGCTATTCAAAATCTCATTCAAAATCACATGCAGACAAACAAGTCTGTAGCGTTACACTTGTTCTAAATGGGTCGGTTTCGCATTGGGGGAGACGTGAAGGAGGGAATACCATGCCGAGTGACGTGTAGGACGGAGCCGGTTCTCACCTTCCGGTGGGAGACAACGCTGCCACTTCCAAGAATATAACATGGACGGGAACTAACACGACTAATGACCATAGTAGTGGACGAGCGCAGAAACAATAAATAATCAATCAATTATTTCTCAAAAATTATTGCTTTTATTATATCACCTCTTTGCTTAACACCAAGAGCACTTGTGACATACTCGTACGAGGTTCGCGGGGAGGAGGACGTGGAGGAAGAAGAGAATGGGAAGAATAATAGAAACAAAATTCATCTTACACGTGAAATAATCTTCACAATACTACGCGATGTGTTAAGCAATCCAGATAAGATGATCAGCGGAGATGATCCCTTGTTTTGCTACTGGGCATAAATGAATGGTTCACTATGATCACGATTTCTTGGGCTTACCTTTTGCTAGAAGTGGTAGGAATAGAGCTGAGGGTATTAGTTAGCAATACAAAAAATATTAAAACCTGCAGTTCATTAATGAGTGCAAATACGTTTTCTATAACTTGTGAGCAAAAATGTCGGTTTCAAACGTTGCCAACTTCGCTTCTTTTTGAAACTTTCATTCATCATTCAACTATTTACTGTAAACATTTTTTGAAGAGATTCTGGAAAGGAAACATGCGCAATGGTATTCCTCCTCCTCATGCCACACACAGTTTCCACTGTTTTTGACTAAATAAACAAATCAGATAAATTCATTCGGCGATAACTGGTTAACTCGAGAGCTCGTGTGTTATATGATTACCTATCAATTCTAGTTCCATGACTGTGCTATTGTTCCAATTTGACCTCAAAGAACAATTAGTCGATCTGTGTTTCCATATTAACTCCTTAACCTATTGATGATTGAATTTGTGTGGGAGATTATTGTGTTGTTTTCTCCTAGAAAATGTTAATTTGTCCCAAATTTCTCTGACTGAATCATTTAACGAAAATATTGTATTAAAAATATTGCCCCTATTTTAACAATATAATTGGTAACATTATTTAGGATGTATTCAGAGATCTTCCTTTTTATAGTAAATGGAATAATAATATAAAGCACTTTTCAGTGCAAAAAACAAAGAAAAATTGTTAATAAGCATTTTTATTAATTGAATTTTTTTATAATCAATTGACAGTTTTTGTATGAAATTGCATTCATTGGAAGTATATTATATCAGAGATTATTTCTTTAATACAATAAAGCTGGAATTACAATTATAAATTATTAATATTTTCCAAATTAAGTACAATTTAAAAAGCATTTATGTTCAGAGAATATTATTTGTAACTTAATGAATACACTTTTACTAGATTATAAATACATATAAATAAATAAATAAATAATGGTCCTTTTTAATGTATAACTTGATTACTAAACTGCGGATATCCAGGATATCAATCAAACATTTCACTTTTAACCACCCACAGTTTTTGAACCAAATATCATGCATAATAAATGTACCTAACAAATGTTTGATGTAAGATATTGTAGACCGTATGACACTTCAACTTTGATGGGGTTACATCCGAGATTAATTTTAAAAACTGTTTTGAATACATCACGTTATTTGTATTCAGAAGAATAATTATACTGTTACTGTAAAAAATTGTGTACTTAGACTTAGTTGAAGGTTAATTTTCCCCAAACTTTTCATTAACGGTGAGATTGCCATTTCCTTATGATCCTGAAGCAATTATTCATGGTTCAGACATTTTTCATTTGGAACAAAGTAATACCACAGGACCAAGTAACCCTGATTTACAGTGCACTAAATAATTTTTATATTTCGTGAGCCATTAAGTTTTGCAACTTAATTTGATGTAATGTAGTGATTATCACACAGAGACTGTATTATTCACTTATAAAATATATCTAAGCCTTCTCATCAGGTTTGGCAGATTCCTTCTCTTCTGGTTTCACTGCTTCGTTATCTTCAGGTTTATCTTCAGGTTTTGACTCTTTTTCTTCTTCTTTTTCTTCTTCTTTTTCATATGGACCTGAATTTGCTGTAGTAACTTCTCGAATCCAGTCGATATAATGTGAAACTTCTGTGTATACCACAGGATATCCTTTTTTGGCACAAGGAATCACAGACCAAGAGACAATCCCCACTTGCTGGTCATTAGCAATAAGAGGACCTCCAGAATCACCCTGAGAAAAAAATATTTTTGAGTATGCAAAGTAAATTTCTGATGTAACATTAATTGATAATTTTTATATTTATACTACCCAGAATATATGCTCATGAATGAATGACGTTTTGAGATTTGATTATTTTAATTAGAGATAAAAAGAATGTGTGAGTATGTGGGGGGCTTTTTGATCGAAAGTTTTCATCTTAATAGAAAAGGCCCATTGCCTTCGCTTAGATGATCTATATTCGAATCGTAGAGAACAAAAACGATCAATGTCCAGGAGCTTCAAATTTTGAAGTGCAGCCAAAAAGGTTCTAAGTTTCGGACATCGATCATTTCTTCTTAACATTAATAATTGGAGGTCACTCTATAGTCGTCACAGAGTTTATTGACATCGAACGTTTATGGATTTCTTGAAATTGAATTTATATTTTAAGAACATTTTCCCATCGCTAACGTAAAATAGGCAAAATAAGACATCGAAACTTTTTGTTTACACCGATTCATGTGCCTTTGGCTTATCAGAAGCTCAGATAACTAATCTTAATTTTATTTCATTAATTCATTTAGATTCCTAGAGAAGTGGTCTTTGCATAGGAAATTTATCGTAATTTGAGAAAGAAATTTTATTGAACTCCCACAAATCTTTTTCTATTTCCAAGATTTAGCTTTGACCAATTGCAGGGTTCTCAAGACTGGTGTATGTCAGTTATGAGGACGTTTGGTCGGGACGTCCCAGATCGGACTGGGGGAGATGATGAGACGAGGCTGAGATAGAATTGATAGGTAAAAATCGCGCGCTTTCCGTCGTCCGGTACTGCTCGGGCCTTCGCTTGGAAGCGGTCAGGAAACCCACGAAAAATTACTTATCAGGGCTGCCGGTTTACAAACTCGATTCCGGCTGCTGAAAGTTAGTTTCTGGCTCATTTGCCGGGAGCGATTCTCCGATCTCTATATCACTGGTACGCTCGAGACGTAAAGCTTTACAATCGCCGCTACTGGTGTTGATATTGGTCAACACCTCGCACACTTGCTACAAAAGTGACACAACTCAAAATGTCAGGTTTTCCATTAATCACCAAAAACATTGGTGTCAATAATGAAACATTACTAAGACAAACAAATGTATCTGCCCTAATGAGAACGGATATAAAACAGGATTAAATGGGGTTTTAGTTATTTCTAGCACTAACCCCAAAAAACTAAACTTTGTTTTTGTTATGCCACTTTAATGCCTTGATCAATCATATAGCCGCCCACTACCGGTGCCCACTCGACCGCATTTTATCGAACATATTGGGAAGTTATAGAACCACACTTTTGCTGACTGGTCAAGTATCTTTTCTGCAACTTTGTCATAGTAACAACTCAAAAATCTTTATTTTTGAGTGGTGTTGCTTTTGTAGCAAGGGTGCGACATTATATTTAATACTTCTTTTAGTATGCTTTGATATAAAAATATAAAATACATTTGTAATGTTTATTCGAGAACGGCTAGAAAGTAACGCATTCTTACACAGCATTCGGACAAGTTCAACTTTTTTCAACATCAGCGGAGGAAAATTCTGAAAGTACGTTCCGTACTAGTACTGAAAGTATAAAAATTAGAAAACGAAATACGAATCAACCCCCGGTCGGAAAAATACTAGTATGTTACCGTGATTGTTACATAAATTTTGCCATACGGACAAATTGTGATACAATTGAGGTCTTGAATAAAATATTGCACATCACATGGCAAAAATTTCCATGATACCACGAGATTCGTACACTTATAGGTCTCGACCGTGAAGTGTCCTGTCTTGTCATGGAAACATCCACTCTCTCTTGTCTTGTGGAGTAAATTACTATTGCATTAAGTTCTTTAAAATGGTGCTGTTTTTACAGTATACTTGCAATTAATAACATTGTTATTCTTACATAATTACTCCTCATGCAGGCAAATCAATAACTTAATATTTTAATATAATGATTTCAGAAAAATCTAAGATATTAGAAAGTCTATATGTCTTGAATCTCAAAACAGACTTTTTATAGTAATAATCTGACTATTTTTAGTAAAAAGTTTCCCAGGAAGATTGGTGAACTTTGACACAAAATATTTTAATCCTATCTTTTTTGGTCAATTCCTTCCCTTTTTTCAAAGATAGTTAAAATTTGAATTGCATTATGCTAATGAAACTATTGTGTACAAATTATAGAGTTAAAATTACTTACAATACATGCATTCTTTCCTCCCTCAGATGTGCCAGCACAAATATTGGTGGTATGTATATCACCACCGTATGCTTCCAAACAGTCAGCATCAGAAACAATCTCAATCTCCGCAGTTTGCAGCTTGGTCATTATGGGGCTGCCAGTCTGAAAAGTTCAGCAAAATTGACAATTTTGGGAACTTGAAATTGAGATTCCCTCGATTGCCCGTGAATTTTCACATGCTCACTTCGGGAGCACTTTCAAATTTATTCAAAAATGTCTCCACATTTTTGGCGCTAATGTGTATAGTTGAAGTAGATATTGCAGACAGAAAGTAATTTATTATACAATATAACTTATGGTTAGAGAGAACTTTGGGTGATTTCTACTTTGTCACAATCACGAGGGCTGTAGGAAGGGGAGTCAGTTCCGTTGTGGGAGGCATGGTGGGGATATGTGCGAACAGTGTTGTGAAACAGTTCTTATGGCCCATCTATATATAGAACAACAATGGTACTCAAATGTTTCAAGGGCTTACTTACTTTCCTACAATTTGGAATCGTTTCTGAAGAATTCCAGCCCCATAAAAGTCAAAGGTATCATCTCTGGTATCGAACGTTTTGAATTAAAACAAAGCAATCTTTCTTTCCACAATGCTCCACACAGAAACGTGTACAGAAGTCGGAGGTAATAAACAGGAAATAATACTTCATTACAATTTCACGAAGTTAACGCACCGGACCAGCTCACACGCTCATACTCGTGTCAAAGAAAAAAAAACAGATGACCATTAGCCTTCTCTCTCAAGTGACAGGATGTTGCTGGAGTGGCAGCATTTGGTATCTGATCAAATATGCAGCCAACACGGAATATGTGGAAACATCGTATTTGAAATTAATGATTGCGTGAGATATCAGAGGACATCATTCAACACACTGAAATACTATGGAACTCCAGAAAATACACTTCCAGTTCGGCGAAAACTAAATTCTACTGCATCTTGCCAGATGAGTGGTTCTACACCGTGCTCATCAGGAAGCAGAAAGATATGTCACAAGTGTCTACGCGCGAGGTCCCATTCAGAAACTATGTTGCAGTGAATGCCACCATCAGTGAACAATGAGCACAGTGATGTAACCCGTTTTTGAAAGAAATGTGAATAATAATGTGAAGTGAGACTAATTTAATCATAATATGTGATTCATAGAGAAAAAATATAAACTTGCTCAATGTGCTTTGTGTTCTTGTAACAAATGCTGTTACTTCTTGTGAGTTTTTGCATAATGCAGGCATTATTATGAAGTTGAATAAGAGCTTAGTGGGAAACAAAGATTGTAGCTTGCCTGGATATGTCACTAAAGTACCTTGCCCGGGAAAAAGTTAAATGCAATAAATTGGTTAATATTGTAGAAACTAGTTCTAATTAACCTCTGCATTTCCTTATTCTGTTGATAACATACTTATATACAATTAGTTACAATATAATTAAAAATAATTATAGTAGCATGTATTAGTTTTTATTGCCATTTATTATTATTATTGTTATTATTATTATTATCATCATCATCATCGTATAGGACATTACTGACCACGCTACACGATTAACGTGTGTAATTCTTCCAGGATCAGCTTTTCAGCTGTTGATTCTTAATTACACAAGTTGTACGCTTGTAGTGTGACTTATGAGATGATAGTATGATGATGACTAGTGTGAAGGACAATCACAATATTACGACCAGTCTAAGCCAAAGGACTCGAACCTGCAGCCTCCTCGTAAGACGACGGCTGCCGCAACCCGCCTGCCGCCACGGGCCCCCGACGTTGTTGTTGTTATATATTATTGTTATTGTTCATTTTATTATTGTTATTATTATTATTATTATTATTATTATTATTATTATTATTATTATTATTATTGTTTCGTTATTTGTGAATCAGAGGGATGCCTGACCCCGAGTCCGATTTGAGGCTGTCATAACTATTCGTACGTGCCTACACGTCACTACTAGTGTCCTTTGGCCCAAAAAATACACCATACAACAATGCCAAAGATTAGAGACTCTGTGAAAGATACAGTTAAGAGTGCCTTTGTCTTAGATACCTCGGCTACACAGGATCGCCAAAAATTGTGTTGTTAATCTTAAAATGTTTTACTTCTCGTGTACTAACTAATATAAGGATATGCAGTATGTGATGTTGCAGAAAATTCTCTCGAGATTTTGGCGGAAACACACGTTTTGGGGGTTTCTAATTCCGAATAACTGGTTATTTTAAAAAGTCCACCCTTCTGTATCTACCAGTGAACAACACTAGCGGATAAACAGTAAATAGGATTTTCCCCCAAATGGATATTATTTGATCTATCTAACCGTTCTGAAGGCCCTTGAAATTTGATACGGATTTTTAATTTGTTTGGAGATACTCACGAATGGAGAGATTTACATGCAGCTCATTAAGAGGTTTTCAAAATTTACGTAGAAATGATTTGTTTGATTTTTTAAATGTAGAAAGGTTTATCAGTAAATATGAAATAGGTCCGATTTTCATTAAACATTTTAAAAATTCGAAAATTATAAAAATTAAAATTTGTTCGACCGTCTCTTTTAACTAAATTATTGTAGCTAAGCATATTCTCAGAACAAAATTGGCATACTGTTCAAAATTAGATTTTTAGAAAGTGGCGTATACAATTTTTTCAAAATATGACACTTTTTGCGTATTCTTTTAGTAAATTGTGACAACTTGCCAAAGTTTCTTTGTTAGAACAAATAGAAAAATTAAGGAAGCGAGGGCGTTCTTAACTGAATTAGGTAATAGTATAACGAATAAAGTTTTACCCTCGGAAAGCTACGGTCAAGTGCAAATCTCAGCTTGAACAAACATTTTTACTTGTTGGAGACCTTGCAAAATGTTTTGGTACAGTGAGGCGATCCCCAACCTTATGAAGTTTCCCACATTGTCCCCTTGGCCAGTGCACTCGACCAACTGGTCGAAGTACTCTCCTTCTGTCAAGTTATTGTAAAATGTGCGAAGTTTTCTCACAGATTGATCTAGTATTATAATATTACATGACCTTTATAAATAATACTAGAAATTATATCCTGTTGTAGTAACAATAGTGTAAATTTATAAAAATAAATATTTTTAATTTTGATGTATTACTATATTACAATTGAGTTTGAGACGAGAGTTTCAGATACTTTTTAAATTGCAATTCATTTCATTGGACAACTAGTGATATATTAATATTTTTATTTCTTCTGTGTCTGGAAAGAACAATTAAAAGAACGTGATGTTAAAAAAGAAATATAATAGTAAACTTACATAATTCATGCCCCAGCCAATAACAGTGGCAGGTGTATATTCAACAGTGTCTTCTAGAAGACGTGGTAATTTCACTGGTTGTACAGCATCAGACCATTCAAATGGAGTGGCGACCTTAAAATAATTTCATGGTTAATTGTGTAACTGCTCTTCAATAAATCAAACACCATGCTTTTGAATTTTTAAATTAATGTGAGATTAACAGATGTCTGTAATGGTTTAGGGTTATGTTATGAATTTGTAATGAAGTCTCGGGTGTGCTCAGTTTTGCAAATATCTGCGAGTTAAAAAATTATAGAATATAGAATAAGAAATAATGAAATTTTTTTAATATTGTGAATAGATCAATGCCAATTGCGAGTTAAGTGACCTAGATTTAGAACAAAAATACTTGTTTGGTCCTAAATATCACAACCTTCATTGCATGGGTTGAACGACAATTTTCTTCATGACTAAATATGAAATTTTGACAAGTAATTTATTATCTTTCTTCACAAAATCAGGCAAATTAATGTAATTTAGAGAATAAGCCTTTGCACAGAGAATTTAGCTACTCATTTAATTTTGCTAGTTTGGAGAAACGTTTTTATCAATCATGCAGAGCTGCCATTACTTCGTGAACTATTTGGGAAATGTATTAAGCTTGTTTTCTTTCAATATTTATATTTAATGCATGTTTTAAAGCTTACCTCTCACTCATACTTAAACTACATATTTCTATATACTCCATTTCTGAATTCTCAAATAAATATTCTCTCACTGTCACAAAGTACCGGTTACTAAATTCAGATATTTAATAAGGTTATATTGAGTCAATGATACATTTTAACCATTATTATTATTATAATAAAGGAAATCGACAATAATATTGTATATCATACAATACCCCAATACTACTTTTTGGGAAATTGGTCACACTTAACATACAAACATATAATTACCTTGATTAAGGCGATGTCATTATAATGACCATTATAAGGCATATATTCTTTATGAATTGCCACTCCTGTAATTTCCTTGAGAACTCCCTTTGCTGTTTTATTCACGTATTTGATGTCTGTAGTTCCAGCGTGGACATTCAGATAGCCCAATTGCATAGCACTGTAAAAGAAAATGCGGTCAAAAGAATTACAGTAGTGAAAAGGAGGAGCTAGGGGAAAATAGTTACATTCTTGAACGTGGCTCAAATAATTTATTTAATCTATATCTATTGTGATGAATCTCGTCCACGAAAAAAAATCTTCGTAGACTATTGATAAAGAAACGCATGCCCTAGTTACACCACTGTATCACCCTGCCGGACTCATTTCTACAGATAGAAGTTGTCCGTTTCAAACTGTAATTATATAACAATATTCGAGTGGGTAATTGGAAACAATTCAAATTTGCTTAATCGTTTCAGATTATGATAAAAGTTAAGTAAATTATCCATGTTTTCAAATAAAAATTGAAATTGAATCATAACATATTTGATACCTATACGAAACAGGTCGATATTTGAACATTGATTTTGTATTGATTGATTATGTATTATTTGTGTGTTGATTCGTCTGTATAAAAAAATGGATGATCTCACATATCATATCTTGATTGTTTAATTCTTACATATTTCTTTACTAAGGGAATATTTTAGAGATATTTCTAAAATACGTTTGGATCAAGCTTTTGGCTGTAGAACACTTCGTCCGACCTTAGTTGCGAGTAAGAAACGCCGAGTTAGTTGGCTGAAAGCGCGTAACGTACGGGTCAAAACAGTGTGCCGCTGTGAGAACCCAATCCTTGGCGATGATGCTGCCGCCGCAGAAATGCCGGTGGCCGTATTGAAGAGAGACCTGGTACGGGTGCTGGTAGTCTCCCGCGTCCGTTCCGTTCACAACTCGGCCGTCCATCACACTGCGGTAGAGGCGATTGTAGATGGTGGCACCTGCGCAACAATGTTAAATGTCGTATTACAAGAAAGGATAAAACATTAGTTGCGTTGTCCTTGATGTCAAATTCAACTCGTTCGCACTCGATGCAGCAACAATTTCTGAATGTAATGACCCAAACAGCCGTGCTTGCAAAGACATGGAGCAGTAGTGAGAGCCAGTACATGGGGTCCTCTTAGGAATGGGTACTTATCTGAGTATTGTGGCATGGTTGGTTTTCCCACCTACGATGTATCTTCTTTACAATAATGTCATTTTTTTATTTGTCCGTCTTGGTGGCGCAGAAGTTTGCGTGTGTGTGTGCGCGCGCGCATGGGCATGTAAGAAGCTGAGAGGCATGTACGCTGTAGGAGCAACCTCCGCAACCACACCTAATCATTGCATATTGATTTAATGTATTATTTTAATGCTTTTCTATGCCTAACAACGATCCAGTATCGTATATATTACTCAACTCTTATAAAACAATAATTAATGAATCTTAATTAATCTGTATGAAAATGCAAATACTTCTGTATTTCTGAAATTAATAAATACATGCTTACTTTTATAGAAGGAAACTATTTATTTCAAAATTAGTTTGTTCTATGTAATAAGGGTGTATACAACATTTTCAAATTAATGTAAATCCACATATTAGAGCATTTTAGTGCATTTTGTGCACTTAGACATTTACTAGTATGATTGATTGGGTGATATATGCAAATATTTTACTTTATGTACTCGTACACCTTGTACCTAATTTTTAGTATCTCAAAACTGTGTTTTCTGTATTACGCTCTTCCAGTCAACCTCTCAATTGTACACCCAACTGTGAGTTATCCATGTGTGTGCATTTGCACAACTGTTTATTTAAAATTGATGCCAAACAATATTCAAATGGATCAATTGTTACTTTATGTGACCAACTCGTTCACTCACTTACTAATATTTAAATTAAAACATGAGTGTGCTGTGTTCTCAATTACCATTCACGGTAGCATAAGATCCTTATTTCAGGAAATTAAAACAGGTGTCTAATAAGCCTATATTTTCCAGTGGTCCTTTGAGAGAATAAATTAATCAATTGCTGAGTTATCAAGCAAGTGGTAAGATTGAACTCTGAAAACACTGCTTAACAATTCACTGCTCATACTGGCTGCCTCATTTTCATCATACGCGTTGGAATCAAACGGTACAATTCCTGATTCGTGTCGTGGCATGATGGAACGTACCTAATAACCATAGATCACCCTAGAATCCTGGTTTCTTTCAATAGGCGGATATCCTCATCTCTATTTAGAAGAGGATATCCTCGGGTAGCTAAGCTGAGATGACCTTACTAAGTACTTCGACAGCTCCCATCAGTCACACACACACACACACACAA